GTGCACAGAAAAGTATGTCTCCCAGTACACGATCACATATCCTAATATGCCACCCACCTGGTGCTAGCTCTCTTGACGCAGGCCTCAACTGTTCCTGATCCAATATTGCTCAAGTCTAGACTCTAGTATGTGGGCATAGGACAATTCTCCAATTATGTGTCATTATTACTGGTCGACAGCTGGTTTTGCCTTGAAATAACTGAGTCGAACGCTCTACGGGGCTTCTCGGTCTCTGAAGTGAGGGAAGGACTTGACTGTGTCTGAAGTAGAGAGCCTATCTACGCCTCTCTAGACTCTTAAGCCTCCACCAGAACGGCCGGAGTTCTTCGGATGACGCGGCGCATGCTCATGCTTACCACCTGGCATTGAGAGTCGAGACTCATTAGCCATGATAGTTTGACAGGCAATTGTGAGTTAGTTGTCGAGTCAGTAATTGCTTCGGCATAGGTGATCTCTGTCCTGCACACCATCCTTTCATGATGCGCGATCACGAGATGGTCCCGGCATGATTTCCGACTCGAGAGGGCCCATAATAATGGCCCGATCGTTCGATATCGGTCGATGCTTAGCTTCCGGTGATATCGAATATTTTCCCCGGCGTCCGGACGCTGTGGAATACAATGAGACGACCGGCTTTCATCATTCCACATGAAACCCCAGGGCGCTTGGCTCGACGGCCGAGTCCCATTGTGCTGTCGCGAAGTGGCCCCCATTCTTACAAGTTATTTCAGAGAAATAAATCACGCATACGAAGCAGTGAAGTGGACTCTCAGTATCAAGGATGCTCGATACATGTTTCTGATCCACGCCCGTTGACTACGAGTTTCAATAGCGCCATGACTAGCAACTTAGCCAGACTTCGGATCCAGGAACAGACAGTTTCTAGTTACTCTCAAATGGTCGTTAGGCTCTAGCAAGGTCGTATCCACGTAGTAGTAGTGATGCCGTGACGATCTATTTGCCATTGCTCTCGTTCCGCATCGAGAATAGGTATCCAACCAGGTCTCGCCTGTTGCTTGACGTTCCCCTCCACAAGGCTCAATAGCGCCGGAGGTTGTATACCGGAATAGAACAAGAACGAGACTAACCTACCATCGTACTCACCGGATGATAAACATCGGGATAACCGACAATGGGCCCAGAGATTCGATGCGTCCATATTCTCGACAGTTGCACAATACGCTGCAGCCTACAAGTACTACTGAGACAGCTCCATCAAGAATATTAATTGAGGTCCATTGCAAGCTTGAATTAGCCGATAGCTCTATTTAAGACTGTTTCAGATTGACTAATAGCATCGCAGTTTAGAGGCTGCTGCATGCTACTCTCGTTATGTGATGTATGAAGGATGCTTGGAAGTTGGGATACTGAATATTAATAGTCTAGAAGTCACCAGTGCATCCATCGGTACCTCTAGGCGAGTCAAGAGAATTCCCAGCGATGGCTGTTGTTCAGCCTTATCATCCGATAGTCTCCAACAACTTTCGAAATCAAAGGCTAGTAGTGTAGGAGTAGTGAGCCTGAATCAGCCATACTATCAATTTGTAGGGCTGTAAGCCGTAGCACCCATATTATTATTATGAACAGTATATTGTTGTCATAGTATTTGCGCTACCGATAACAACCTAATGTCCCTAATAATAATTTGGTTACACTGGACACCATCGAGACCTGACGCGGAATTCCATCTTATTGGCTGTACTCGAATTAAGCTCCACCCAATATACTTTCCTGTGGCAAGGGCGAGCCACGGGCAGACCTGGAACCAGCTCGTGGTGGAATAGCATGGAGTCTCTATCTACCAAGTACCTAACAAAAAATGGGTCGTCTGCCGCCAACATTCATAACAAGTTACGAACTCAGCAACTCTGTGAATAACTAAATTGGCATCGAGCGTCGGAATACTCCGAGATTTGAGACTCAATGTTCAAGGACAAACTTTAATTGACTAGCACGTGAGAAGCCAAGGGGCCCAAGTGGACTTTTCCTTTAAACTACTGCATGCCTCAGGTTATGGGTGGCCATATGAATAATTTTACATACTACCTTACCTACGTACCTTACTCTGAAGACTTGTATGCAGATTACATGCACGACTCAGACAGTCCACTTTATTTTCAATTGAATCAGTCCCTGTCTGTACTCATTCACGACATTTCCCCCAGATCATAAGGAAGATATCAAAAGTGTGGAGATAGAGATATCTAGCTGTCCCATGGGGCTCGGCTCCTCCAACTTGGACCAGTGTTTGACTACGACCTCTCATCTCAGAGGCCAACTGCTCCGAATGATATCTGGATAGAGTCTGCCATCTGCTCAAGCTCCCTCTTTGGGAAAAGGCTTCTCGGCGTACCCCTGTACTTTTCATACAAGTCTGTTGCAACCGCGATTATCATCGACCAATAATATGTGCTTTATCAGTCCCGCTTCTGATCGTCTCGCCCACATGAGCAGGTTCTTGTGAAATCTGATTCGCCCACCAATGCTTATCCCTGCTGCACTACCTTAGATCTGACCCCACAATTAGCTGTAAATACAATACCAGTACGATGGCCAAGGGTGTTCAACCGGGTTGTCCTCCAGGCATCCCTCAAGAGTATCTAAATACTATAAACTGCTGCCGGCCGGATTGACGAGCAAATCTGATGTTGGATTTCTCTTCATCCTCCATCCGGACGGCTCTGGAGGTGATATATGTCAGCACCTATCGATATCCTCTCATAGTCGCCATCACCCTTACTGATCTGCAGTAACTAAGAGCGTACCTCCATATACCCGTACACGTGCAGGACACAGCCAGTGATACCCTACCTCGCCATCCGTCGACTTGGTCGTCCAAATCTATCTTAATAATTCGCCTTTTCCTCGATCATAATAATACTCGTCTTCAGCCGGTCTCTCACCGATCGGTTCAATTCCCCCCCGTTGTTTGATATCACCCGAAATGGCAGCGGTGGAAAATCCGGAAAAGATGGCTGCAGTTGAGGCCAGCGCAGAGGAACGCCCTTCGACAGAATTGGTCAATGCATCCGGCCATCGTCAAGAGCTCGAACGGAACTTCAGCTTGCTCAGTATTTGTGCCGTCGCTGTTACCACAGGAAACACATGGATTGCTCAGGGTGGCAGTTTAGTACGTTCACCCTCAGCAACCAGTTACTAACAGTTGAGCTAACAGTGTATTTCAAGGTCACTGCTATGTATAATGGAGGACCTGCCGGTGTTATCTATGAATTGTGAGATCACTTTGGATCAGTCAATCATCAGTCGATACTAACCATGAGTTAAGCATTGCTGTTTCCGTCTGTTATTGGATGGTCGCCGCATCTATTGCAGAGCTCGCATCGGCGATGCCTTCTGCCAGTGGTGGTATGTCGCGACTCTGCTCTGTCCTTTCTTAGGAGCCTCGCTAACCCGGGCAATCAGTCTACCACTGGGCCTCGATCACCGCTGGAAAGTATGGTCGCGTTTGCGGATTCTTCGCTGGATTCTGGAACTGTCTTGCATGGATCCTAGGAGCTGCCTCCATGTCTGCCATCTTGGGCCAACAGACCGTCTCCATGTACGCGCTCATGCATCCTGGCTTCGTCCCTCAGGCATGGCACACCTTCATCAGCTTCATCATCTGCACCTGGATGTGCTGCTGCATTGTGCTCTTCATGAACCGCTTCCTCCCTCACATTGGTAATCTTGGCATGTTCTTCATTCTTGCCGGTGTGTTCATCACTATCATCGTCTGTGCTGTGATGCCTCATATCAACGGCCAAGCATATCTCGACGATAAGACAGTGTGGCGCACTTGGAATAACCAGACCGGCTGGTCGAGCAACGGCTTTGTCTTCGTTGCAGGAATGCTCAATGGCGCTTACAGTGTTGGCACTCCCGACTGCTCTAGCCACCTTGCAGAGGAAATCCCACGGTGAGCTGATTTTAGTCGGAGTCAGTGGATCTAGTACGCTAACCCGGTGCTATAGGCCCAGTCGCAACATCCCTAAGGCCGTCCTCGCTCAAATGTCTGTCGGCTTCGTCACTGGTCTTCTCTATATGATCGCCGTCTTCTATGCCATCAATGACCTCGACCTGGTCATGAGCAATCCCTACGGTTTCCCCCTCGCCGAGATCTACCGCCAGGCCACGGGTACTCGAGGTGGCTCCCTTGGTTTGCTGATCGTTGCCTTCCTGCCCACTGTCATCACATGTGCTGGTTGCTACATCACCGCCGGCCGTACCTTGTGGACCATTTCCCGTGATAGAGCGACCCCTTTCTCCGGCTGGCTCGGCCGTATCAATACCCGGATGCACAACCCTTTCAACGCGACCCTGGTCTGTGGTGTGCTTATTACCATCCTTGCGTGCATTTACGTCGGATCCACCACCGCTTTCAATGCCTTCGTCGGTTGTTTCGTGCAGCTGTCTTCCCTCTCCTACCTCGCCGCCATCCTCCCTCATGTCCTCACCCGCCGCTCCACCTTCCAACCTGGCTACTTCTGGATGGGTCGCATCGGCTTCGTCATCAATATCCTTAGCTCCATCTACATCGTTGCCTTCGTTGTCATCTTCTGCTTCCCCTACTCCATGCCTACCAGCGCCGCTACGATGAACTACGCCAGTTTGATGACCGGTGGACTGACCATCTTCGTGGCTGTCTGGTGGTTCATCCGTCGGGGCTCCTACGAAGGACCCAAGAACATTCCTCTGACCGACAAGGCCGTGCTGGACGACGCAAAGTAAATGTGCGGTCCAAAAAGGTCAATGGTGGCATCGGATATTCTGACATTGTTTCATGAACTCTCACCGCGATGGTTCTGCCTTTTGCTCTTTGCAGTTTGTTGCCGATGATATGAGTGATTATTTTGGTGCTGCTCATGATCTATATGTATTTTAATTCCTATTCAAAAGAGTTGGCGCAATTACTAGAATCACAATAATACCCCTACATCAATTGGAATCTCTAATCCCTGTTATGGCGATGGCATGTGCTCGCGAAGCAGCGCTTGGGAAGTAACCTCTGGTCGTGGACAGGTTGGTCATCACGTATCGTTAACACCGATAAGGTCGCCGGATCGAGCCCGGCACTGGTCACATATGTCTTTTTACTTTTGTTTTTGTTCTGGCTTTGAGTCCGGATTCTTTTTTGCTTCTAGAGAGGAATATCTGGGGCATCACTGTCAGGATGAGATGAGTCAAGACGCGGGATCAACCAGTCAAGGTTAGAGTTGGGTGTCGTTAGCCTTTTAGTTGAACATAACTTCGATCTGTTAACATCAATGCTCATTACTGGCTCTGCATTATTTACTAGACTAGATACTATCTTGAAATAATGTGCCTTGATTGATGACTGAGGTTGGGCTTGGCGCTGGTCTCCGCACGTGCGGCACGCTTCGACGCGTCGCTGGAGATTCGCGACTGATTACACCCTGTGCCTGCGAGAACAGCCTCGATAACAATCAACAACAGGAACGATGGAGCCGATATAACGCAATTGAGTCTGGGCTCTTCCTAATTATACTCTGTTTGATTTTCTTGTAAAGAGCAGGGCCTCTCGAAGGCCTGAATTTATTCTTTTTTCTTTATTTATTGAGGTCCTTGTTCCGGTTTGTCGTGTGCTTCGTGCTCCCTTGGATTACGCTGCAATGTATCTTCCTCGTCAACTCATATCGCACCTCTACCTACAACTCCTCCGATCACATCACCCGCTCTCTCCTCCCGTGCTGGTCCTCGTAGCACTCGAACCCGATGCCCTCTGCGCTTGTCGAATCCTGACCGCCCTCTTGAAGCGCGACTATATCCCCCACAAGATCCAGCCGGTAGCCGGATATGGCGATCTCGCGCGCGCCGGCGAGGAGCTGGTCAAGCCTATGCAAACGCACAATGGGGGCAGTGGAGGAGTGGTCGTATGTCTAGGCGTGGGAGGCTTGGTGGATCTCAACGAGATACTCTGTCTGAGCAGCCCGGACGACGAGGTGGAGGATATGGGCGGGGTGGAGGCATGGGTGTTCGACTCGAGGCGACCGTGGAATCTGAGCAATGTCTTTGGTGGGGAGGCAGCGGCGGCTTCGGCGGATGGGAGTGATGGCGCTTCGCGGCGGAACACGCGCGGTGTCGACAAGGGATGCATCACTCCATCGTACAAATCGGGCGCGGGTGGTATCGTCGTTTACGATGACGGAGATATTGAGGAGGAGATGAGCGAGGAGAGAGAGGCGTACTGCGCGCTGTTGGACATGCCGGAGGTAGACGAAGATGAAGAGGATATTGACGGATCTGGCAGCGAAAATGACGAGGAGCATCCTTCCAGCTCGGGGTCAAAGAAGAGGAAATCGTGGTCGGGACGCGAAAATGAGGATGAATCTGACGAGAACGACGGCCCCCCGCGTCAACGGCGGAGGAGTAATTCAGTATGTTTGCGATCTGCCCTCATGTTTGCTGTTTGCTGTGATCTCTAACGTCCGCCGGCAGGGGTCTTCCATTGCTTCGTCTCCAAGTCGTCGACCGAGGGACGAGCATAACTCCTCGAACTCTTCTCGCTCCGTGACACCGGGCTCAGATTCGCCGTCACCCGCGCTGCCGAGGCAGCCGTCTGCACGATCATTGAGGCGACGGCTGATTCGGCTCAAGAGGAAACATGAGAAGGTGTTACAGAAGTATTATTCCACTGGCACATCGTATTCCGAACCGATATCCTCGCTTGTGTATTCTCTCGCATCCGAACTTGGCCGGGAAGATAACGACCTTCTGTGGTTGGCCATTGTCGGCGTCTCCAGCTTGGAACTCAGTGGTCGTACGATGTCTGGAGTTGGCATCTCCAATCCATCAGAATCCGGGGGGTCTGCTGGCTGGGGTGGCGAACGTGGTGAACGCATTCGTCAAATATTACGAGACGAAGTTCATCGATTGAACCCGCCCGACCCGTACGAGCGAGACAGAGACATTAGAGGGGAGATCAACGGCGTGATCCCCACAACCGCCAAATCGCCAACAGACAAGTCTATTCGATTATCTCCAGAACCCCGTTTCATTCTGGTCCGACACTGGTCCCTCTACGAAAGTATGCTACATAGTCCCTATCTGGCATCACGACTCCACGTTTGGACGGAGAATGGTCGGAAGCGATTGCACAAGCTCCTCGCGAAGATGGGAATCAGCTTGAGCCAGTGTCATCAGAACTACACTCACATGGATATGGAACTGAAGCGAGTACTACGGCAACGGCTTCTCAAATATGCACCAATGTACGGCCTGGAAGGACTCGTACCGCCCGACGCATCTGGTCATGTCTCCTCCCGCGAGGGGTGGGGCTTCGTGCGCTGCTGGGGCTGGAAAGCCTGTCTTTCCGCCACAGACGTGGGCGTCATTATAGGCGCGATCCTCGAGGTTGGGCCAGAGGAAGCTCCTGGTGCCACCTGGGACACAAAGCGCCTCTCGCGCCCCAAAAGCGCAAACGAGGGGAATGGCGCCGATGACGCCACCGAGTCTGATTTGTCTAGCCTTCTGCCGCGATTCTGGAGCGCATACGATGCTTTGTCGCTCACCTCAGAATCGCCAACCCTCCTTCTGAAAGCACTCCCGCTCGCTCAGCATCTTCACCGGGCCATTCTGCGTACCGGTACATCTCTCCTATCGAAGCACCAAATCCGACACCTGCGAGCATTTCGCATTGCGGTTGTTAAGGATGGTCCGGATGTCAAACTGTTTACAAATCCCGGAGCTCTGACGAAATTGGCTCTTTGGATAGCCGAGGCCATCAGAGTCCAAGAGCGTGAGCGAGGCGACGGCGTCAAGATTGGAAAGAAGCGAGCGGCAGGGACTCCCTTGGTGCTGGCCGGACTTGACGAAGACCGAGGCCTGTATGTCGTTGTCGGTACGGGTGGCGGCGGAGGTGTGATCGATTACGCGGCGATGCACAAGCGTCAAGAAGAACGCCGTAAGAAAAAGGAAACAAAGGAGAAGAAACAGAAAGAACGCGAGGAACGTCGAGCGCAGCGCGCAGCCGAGCGTGCTCAACGCGGAAATGACGATGACGACGAAGAAGAAGCCGAGGAGACGGAGGAGGAATCGGAGTCATCATCGGAATCGGAGTCGGAGTCGGAGGACGAGCTTGACATTCGCGGTAACAAGCACCTTTTGCGGAACCGATTCGGGATTGCCTTCCAGGAGGTGGTGCAGGAGACCAACACTCGCGTGCGTATCGACAGCTTCGAGCATTGTGTCGTAGAAGTCCAAAAGGAGGACCTGGGTGGCTTCCTGGAAGCTTTGAGCTTCCGCAGCGTCGTCGGTTAAAGTCCGAGTCTCGCACCGTCCTGCCTTGCTCAAGTGAATACTGTGGCTGTTGCCATTGCTCGATAATTTCCTCAAAGCTAATCCCGGCGATATATTTGCGATGCGTTCTCTCTTTCCTTGCTGGTTGGCTGGCTGCGTGGGGTGAGGTCTCTGGGGGTTGGGTGGAATCGGTGTTCATTTCAATGGGATAAAAAAAGGAATATGTGTTCATGACCAGTTGGAAATCTGTTTGTTTACTTTCTTTTGTTCTTCTCCCCATCGGTTACCAGCATTTTTGTCATTCGCCTTGTCCATGGCCATCTTGCATACCCCCTGCACATGTCACGGCGTTGGCGGTGTTACGGACCGGGCTTGGATTCCGTTTACCCTTCCATTTTCTCATGATTGATTTATAGCTGTCAAGAGCAATGTCCATGGGCGATCTTGTCTGTTGAATAGCATGTGCGACATGTCCTGCATTCATTAATAGAGCTATTTTTACTTTGTTATTGGGTGATGATACAGTGAGATCCCAAACCTCATAGGACGGAAACTTAGGTCATGAACAAGTCTGACACTCTAATCAACTGAGTGGATAGGGCTTATCCATGGAGAGTCCAGCCTTCCAAAGGCTTCTAAGCAAGTGCTAAACGTTCTACTCTCTGCATGAAAGATTGTTGTTTTGGGAGCTTCGGCAATTGCTCCGACCCAACAACGGAGTTTCCCCGCATATCCAATGCCGCGCGATAGAGTCAATTGCCCGGGTTGTCTCCGTATGGGATTGAGTATTTGAGACCGCTGAGACGCTCAATTCATATATTCTCTTTTTATATACTAAATCAACATGTCTTTCCCAAAAGAATATCCCGCACTGCCTCGCGAAAGTACCTTGTCACAGCTTCCGCCCGCATACCCCGCAGACGCCCAGGAACAGATCGTCCAGCTCCTTTCGAAATCTTCACTGAATCGCTTGGTTGTGCTAGATGATGATCCTACAGGCACCCAAACTTGTCATGATATCCCTGTGCTCACCGTCTGGGACGTCCCGACGCTGATTAAGGAATTCCAACAAGATTCCGCTGGGTTTTTTATTCTCACCAACTCGCGCGCACTTCCACCACTTGAAGCGGAGAAGCTCATCCGCGGCATCTGCGAAAACGTCTCGCAGGCAGCCCGATCCACATCTCAGACTGTCGACATCGTTCTTCGAGGCGACAGTACATTGCGCGGCCACTTTCCACTGGAAGCAGACGTCGCGCAGTCCGTGTTCGGCCCCGCAGATGCATGGGTGCTGGCACCCTTCTTCTTCCAGGGCGGTCGGTTTACCATCAACGATGTACACTATGTAGCAGAGGGGGAGACGCTGGTGCCTGCGGGGTTGACACAGTTCGCCAAGGATGCGACCTTTGGGTACAAAAGCTCGAATCTAAGGGACTATGTCATGGAGAAAGCACCTGGCCGGTTCACTCCCGAGCAATTGCACTCCATCACAATCGAGGACGTTCGAATGGGTGGACCCCAGGCCGTATACGAGAAGCTCATGAGCTTCCCCAAGGAAGGCGTCGTCATCGTCAATGCCGCAGCGGAGTCAGACATGCACGTTTTCGTCGCCGGCTTGCTCCTAGGTACGTTTTCGAACCCTTTCTGTCTTTGGTCCAATGCTGAGTAAAAAACAGCCGAAGCCAAAGGAAAACACTTCCTCTACCGCACCGGCGCAGCCTTCGTTTCCTCCCGGCTGGGAATCCGCTCCATCCCACCCATCACAGCCCAACAACTGGGCCTCCCCTCCCCCCGCAAAACAGGCGGCCTCATCCTCGCCGGCTCCTACGTCCCCAAGACAACCGCCCAGCTCAAGGTCCTGACCGATACCCGCGGCGCAACCGGCGCCCTCGCCATCATCGAAATGGACGTAGCGGATCTCATCGCCTCCCCAGATAGCGCGGAGCGCGTAATCCGTCGCGTCGTCCACGAGACAGAGACGCACCTGCAATCCGGCACGGATACGCTGGTTATGACGAGTCGGAAGCTGATAACGGGCCAGGACGAGCTCTCCTCGCTGGCTATCGGGGCGAAGGTCGCCGAGGCGCTGGTCAAGGTTCTGCAGCAGATCCAGGTGCGGCCGAGATATATCATTGCAAAGGTAAGGGTTCGTGCATTGCAAACGGGAGAATTGTTCAGCTAATGATTGGTTTGTTGCTGTCAGGGCGGAATCACCTCCTCAGACGCCGCTACCAAGGGGCTTAATATCAAGCGTGCCATGATTGTCGGTCAGGCTGCGCCTGGCGTGCCGCTCTGGCGATGTGATGAGTCGACGTCCAGGCATCAGGGTGTCCCGTTTGTTGTGTTCCCCGGCAATGTGGGTGGGGAGTCGACGCTGTGTGAGCTGGTGGAAGCATGGAGCTGAGGATAGACGTTTTTGTATAGTTTCATAATGATCTGAATGCACATATATCCAATGGAAGACTCTACAACGGGAGATTTGGTTTACGGATGGGAATTGGATACTGGGCTATGTGGCCCGTAGGCCACGCGGAATGTGTACCTTCATTCAACTAACCTAACTGGCACTTGGACCAGATAATAACTGCGTAATGGGACGGCGATATGTACAGCCACCATACCATCTTTGCGCAGACGGAAATCTCCACCATACCAGTATCAGTCAAACGCCGTGGAAAAAAAGGCCCACCCATACTTAGTAATGCAGATCTGCGCCATATTTTGATGGCTCCAAGAGTGCCCTCTCGCAAGATTGCTGGAAAAAGCGACATACAACCAAGAAATGTTCGTTGTGCAGGATGAGGAACAAGAGAGGGATGAAGGCGGGAGAAAAATGACGACCAACCTTGTTATCTGACCTCGATTGCGCTGTTCGTCGAGGCGGAGTCCAAGACGTTAATCAAGCGCGAACTGCAGAGTCAGCTGGAGTTAGTTGTTCACCAACACATTATCATTGTTCGTTGGGCTTCAACTTCCATCAGTGGTTTAGGTGTCGTAAGTGTATCGTCTCGATGAGAACATAATGGGGACCAGCCCCAACACGACGAGTAGTTCGGCCTCAGGTGAGGGATCTTCAAGCAGGTGTTGGCGTGCCGGCGACTCCGTTGGAGGTGACCTGCCGCTTTGCAGCTGGAAGCGATGCGTCCTAGAAAGTAATTGAAATTAGTCGATCCAATGCCGGAACACTAAGAGCATCAACCGAAATGCGAAATATCCGCTTCCGTCTGCTGATTCGTTTCCCGCTCGTTATCTTGTTTGACTCTCTTGCATGCACTTACGTCCAAAGATTCGATACTTCGCTTCTGAGCACCTGCTTCGGGTTTCTTGATGATCTTCTTCTTGGGACGCGTGGGACGCGTTTCTCCCGGCTGGAAGACATCGTCGGGAAGATCAAAGCTGGTTCTCAAGTCAAAAAATATCCAAAGAGGAGAGCGAATTATGACCAGACTTACTTGCGAACGTGGGTGATGGAGAGATCATTGATGCCGGGTTGGTATCCTGCCCACGACGTACATGTAGATTTAAAAATCTGGGCATCCGTAGAGATGTCCAGCGAACGGGAAGCGCCTTTTACCGTCAGCTAGCTCTTGGAAGTCAAGCGCCATAACATACCTGGCTCCAATGGCTTCAACTCCAAGCCGATGTAATAGGTCGTGGTGTAAATGATATGGCTATCACCATTTGCGCTCTTCTCACCGACAGGTTCCACCTCGGCATTCTCAACTCCGCTGAGAGCTGCGGCTTGGTGTGCAGCATCTTTCCTTTCATCTGTGGTTTCCGTCTTCGTACCTTTATCCTGATACTTGGTAGAACCGTTCTTTACGGCCTCTGCTTCTTCTTCATTGGAGACGATATGCACTCTCTCGAAGCCTTTTGGGAATGGGTGAGCCACTGCAATGGTAGGCTTGCGATCCAAAGCTCCGACGAGATGTCTGATCTTGGATTCGACGAGACCAGACCACACCGATTCCGCTTCTTTAGTTCTGCTTGAGGCAGTGATGCTGAGATAGTATTTGTAATCCTGTGTGAAGAATGAGTGCCGTGCAAAGAGATCATTCCAGGTCAACTGCTTCAAGAAAATCTTGTCTACAATATCACCTCCCCGCTGGAGCTCGCGAAGGATAACCGCCTTTGTGGACATTGAGATGTTGTGCGTCGCACACATCGATGGATACGCGGGGGTGATGATAGGCATAAGGTGGAACCGGTCGCCATGGTAAATCTATCTTCGGTGTCAATATCGCGAATAATGCGGCGCAGCGTCCTTGGTTGCCCTTACCTTGGGATTCCAGACTTTTATCTGGAGAGGTCCGTCCTCGATTGGCTTTAGCAAGACGGGCTGGGGCCACGCCCACTTGTTCATGATGCGGAAAAACTTGCCGACGATCACAGACCCGGTAGCATGTGGGTATAACTGACAGACTCGTGCTACTAGCATGGCCCAAGCAACACCACCCGGGAAACCTACAATATTGGAGTAAATGGCCCGGCCTGTAACTTGGTGTCAGCGTGGTTGCCAGGAGATGATGAGAAGAGAGACAGATGAGATGTCCTTACGCTGAGCCCAGAGCTTGATTGCGCGCAGAGCAAGACGGAACGTCTTCTGCTGGGGCACCAGTTCTAAAATCTCATCTGTGACCCGAGTTCCGTTCAGCGACCGCACCTCCTTCTCGTCAAGCCCCCTGAGGTAATCGTTATTCTTCAAGTCGAGATTGAGAGGGACCGACGACACGATCAAACGGGCGAAGATAAGATCGATACTGATACCGGACAACTCCAGCTTGATGATCGGGACGAAGGCATCCGGAACTGGTGTCATCTTTTCAATGGCCCCCGGGGGAGCCATCTTCTCGAGCAGCGGGGGAAAGTCTGAGAAGAAATCGTCAATGAGGACATGCTTGGGGCCGACCACGAGTGTATCAATATCCGAGCCTATCGCATAGTCAATATCATAGCCACTGCGGTTAAACACTTCCATGCTACTGACCAGGACCATAGACACCCAGGCGATAACTTCCATAAGTGAAAATCTTTCCACCTGCTGCCTCGACTGCTGCAGGGGACAGCCCCTTCTTTCGGCTGACGACCTTGACAAACTCGTGGGTTACGCGTTGAATGAGCTGGAGAACTTGTTTCCTACGTGATGGCAGACATGGTGTCAGCGCGAACATAAACAAGCAGAAACGTAGCTAAGTTGATCCCACCTCCGCTCTGTCTCCGCGGGACTTTCAAAGTTGTTCTGGGCCTTGAGCTCCGAGATCAAATCATCGTTGGCGGCGAGTTCATCGGGGGTTGGCAGAGCAGTTGAGATAGGAGGAGTAACTCCCCACTGACGAACTGGTGGTGTCGACATCTTGTTATCTAGCTTGTGTTGACCAAAGTCATGCAGTTGCGCCGTGTAGGCGTCAGCGGGAAGCGGCTAGCTAAAGAGAAAGAGGATTCGCTAGAGAACGAAGCAGAAGGGAAGATACAGAACGACAGTGAAGCAAATTAAATTAAGAAAGGAGTAGAAGAGGACTTGTAGAGGAAGAAAAGACAAAGGAAGGACTGAATTGATGAAAATGACCACAGGACATCGAATTGATCCAGTTAATAGGTGCAATGAAGATGAGGAGTTCCGGATTATTCACCATTGTATGCTGACTTATCAGACTCCTATCACATGATGTTCACCATTGCCACAGAATAGAGAATCACGTGACATTGTTTTACTGGAGCACTTGAAGTTTGAATTGAACAATCAGCAATAATGTACTAATCAAACCGCAAGATAATATGAGCCTACTTGAGTTGATATCCGTCACGATGTCAACTCAGAATCTACAGGAAGTCCGCCAGTTGCTCGTCCAGCCACTTAACATCATCTTTACTGTCTCCAGGACCACCAGCCCAGTCTGTGTTTCGAGGGTCGTCAGAAGTGTCTCGCCAATAGTCAGAATTGGATCAACTTACGACCCCAGATAGAAGGAATCACGCGGAGAGTTCCAATGCCAGATTGCATGCAGGAGACTTCATATTCGGAGTCCTCGGGACTGCACAGCGACATTCAGCATTAGACGCCAAGGCTCGAAGCATCACTTACGGGAAATATAGGTCAGTTTTTCCTGGCATCACCAGGGTCTTGGCCTTGATTGAGGCGATAGCCTTCTCAAAATTACCATTGTATGGTTCCTGCTGGGACACGTCTCCATTCTGCCAGGTCTGAAGCATCACCAACAGATTATCCGGGTCTTATCCGACGGGGTCAATCATCAACGGAGCCAGTTCAGGACATGTTCAGTTTTTGCAGACGGCTTACCTTTGGATAAAGCCCACTTCTCCCAGAAGTTTTGCATAAAGTCCTCCAGGTCCTTGTAGCCAAGTGCTGTCTCGTACAACTTCTCCCGGTAGAAGGCCTGGCTGAAACCCCTATCCGGACGTGATAAATGAGCTTCGAGTCGTTCAATATTATAGGGGACCATTCGGACACAAGCTTACCAGCCAGCATACACTCTAGCAAAAGCTTTCAGCCCAATCTCTCTGTCCTCAGCACTCCACGGCCCCAAATTCTGACCGGCCTTTAGAAGGCCAATCTTTCCCGAACCCGCCGAGGGGACGCGCTTCGCTGCAAGCAAGGCGCTCTTCACGCCTTCCAAAAACACCTGGTTATGCAGCGATGTCGTTGCCGACCCGCAAAAAGGAATTGCAACGTCCATGAACTCAGGATACTGAGTCGCCCATTGATAGGTCTGTCCTCCTCCCATTGACCAGCCGATCACCGCACGTAGATGCTGGATACCAAAGTGCTCTGTGACAAGCTTGTGCTGAGCACGAACATTGTCGTAGAATGAGCATTTAGGAAATGGCCGAATATCTGGCTGGTTGGATGGAGACGAGGACTGGCCGTTTCCGAAGAGCGCAGGTATGATGATAAAGTACTTCTTAGGATTCAGAACTTTATCTTCTCCTATAAGCCAGAAGTTGTCGGATATCACTTGGTGAAGGTCAGTATAACAGACATGTGCGTTTTCCTCTGTCAGTCTCTACATACTGCCGGAAAACCATGTGGGGTAGACAATTGCGGGGGAGCTTGGGTCTCCAAAAGCCTTGTACGCAAGATGCGCATCAAGTATCTTCTCCCCACTCTGGAGTTCCCAGTCTCCCAGCTTAAAGGTCTCGTAATCTTGGACGGTCATGTTGGTCACCAAGTTGACGAGGGCAGATTCGCAAAAGGGCTCTGAAAGTTTGGCTGATAATGTCATGACTGATAGCAGCGCCTTCGAGGTTTGAGTAGATCAAAGTTCAGTGGTGAGCAGCAATTCATCTACATATTTATATTCCCGCCAATGGTATCAAGGACTTAATTGGTGATACCTTGCCGTGTCATGAGGCACAGGTTTGTTTGGATTGGTAACACCGATGGTATCCCGTGTTGAGATTTATAATAAGAATCAGGGCACCTTGTCGACAAGAAAGTATGCCTATCTAATCAATGCACACTATTACGTAGCGGATATGATGATCAACAAGGATGCTGTATTAGCTGAAATAGTGGTCTACTGTTTTGCTTCACTATCGAGATGTCGAGGCATCTATTCATACTCCCTGGCCTATCGAGTCTCTGAGCGTCTCTTATCGGGTTGACCAAGCAAGTAGGGACAGCTCCCCACTTGGGGTGGCCTCGGGTATCTGATCAGATGAAATCGGCCCGGCGATCGGTAGTGAAGACATCATATTTCCACGCCCCCTTTAAGCGAATTATGGTGATTAACGGGTGGAAATTAGGACATTATTATATACTTGTTCCGTGGAGTTAGTGCTGGTCCGACACGGGATAAATAAATGTCAAGGAGCCTGCCCCGATCAACAGATAGCACTTGTGTGTCAAGGAAACCTCTTGAAAAACTCCCTGCATTAGTTGGTAATGAATCGTACCATCTCATATCAGGTCTTGCGAGTTCAAAGATCGTTGCATACACAGTTGTACGTTGTCCGACCACCACTTGCACACTGAGGGGATGTCTTCTCGGGAAGGAGTCTCAGCAGCACTTCAGTGTTTAAAAAGCGAAGAGCGTGCGACTTGCTAATAACTCATGCAGAGGGTCTCGAGTGCAATCGTATCCTCCTTGGGCGATCCATACATCCCGTTACTATCGATATTTTCATCAATCTGCTACAATGTTCAAAGTCGGCGACGATTTCGACAAGATTCAGGCTTCCCGACCTGACTTCAGGCGTGATGCGCCGGTCACTTTCTCCAAGCCCCCGAATCCAAACTGGAAACAAGGCGATGGTGCCAATGATGGTGGAGAGAGTCTGAAGAAGAATCACGTCGAAATCGATCCATACGAAGAAGGACGACCGGTATCATCAAACTATAAGCTCCTAATCTCGGGAATTGTCCCAAGACCCATTGCGCTTATCAGCACCAGATCCAAAGACGGAAAGACGACGAACTTGGCACCGTTCAGTTATGCTCAAGTCATTAATCACGATCCTCCTCTTTTCACTGTGGGATTAGTTGGCTCGCTTGAGAAGGCCAAGGACTCGTTGAAGAATATGGTCGAGTCGGGTGAATGTGTGATCAATATCATCTCTGAGCATTTTGTCGAGGCAGCCAATGCAACCGCTATCAATGCGCCGTACGGGGTCTCCGAGTGGGAGATTTCCGGGCTGCACCAAGCACCTTGCTCTGTCGTCCAAGCGGCCCGGGTCAAGGAGTCAATGTTCTCAATTGAAGGCAAGCTCGTCGAGACTAAGGAGTTCCAGAGCAGGACGACGGGTAAGACAACAGGCACTTTGGCTATTATTGAGGGTGTTCGTTTCTGGGTGAGGGACGACGCTATCAATGAGGACAAGAGCATCATCGACCTCAAGGTGCTAAAGCCCATCAGTCGGCTTGGTGGTATCTCGTATGGGCGTACCACTGATGCCATTGAAATTCCGAGACCAAACTTCTAGATGGCCGTACAGCACTCAAGCGGGATGAGGGTGATTTGTCGGTCCGGGGAATACAGGCCATAAGATATAGACATGCTTATCACATCCTAGAATACTTCATTCAGACATAAGTCGAGCCCTTCTTCTTATAAACCGTTCTCTTCGATGTCCCGTGGATAGATAGGCGCGTAAATCTGGCATGTCGCTGATCTAGGCCTTATTCTAGGCCTTATTCCCAGTGTCTTAATTTCCGGCTCAATCATGAATATTGAGAGCACATGTGGAGATTCACAGGCCTAGAAGTTTGCCTTCTGGTCAAAGCTCGGACCGGCAACATGCCATTGTACAGAATTAGATGGCTCGGTTCACACCACGGTACGTGGGGAATAAAGACTGTCGACGCCTCCACCAGCGGACTTGTTGTCAATGTTGAGGGCTTCTAGCCTTCTATGTAGGCCTCGAGGCGGCTAAGTAGGCTCGTTCCGTCGTCCGATTGTGGAACTCGGACTCACTCCGTTTCTGAGTCCATTGAGCCTTGAGGAGCCTGCTCAGTGTGGTTCACCCAGGGACTAGTAAACCTGTCAATCCATTATTTCCCCATCCTCCGGCTAAATTATTCTTCTCCAGACGGAGAGATTCTCCACGACGGCTGGCCCCTGCAGGAACAGAACCTCAACCTGGAGATCATGCAACAGGCACACTTCTTGATCCTTATTATTAGTAGTTTCTAAACAACGTATGAAAAGCCAACGAACCATTTACCTGTTGGACCCACAGAATAGAGGAACGGGGGATCGACAGAGTTGCCGTAATGAGGACGTATTCGATTCATTGCTTAGATCGATAGTAGCTGTATGCTGTACCCAGTTTGGATAGATCAATACATCTTTCAATCACGGGACAAGCAAATGTAGCGTCCTGGACCACGGGGAGGGTCACATGGTGGTTCCTAGTTTTTTTGGGGCCCCAGCCAGGGCGCGGAATATGGAGAACACCTTACCTACCTTACCTATTCCATGGATGTTTTCTTGCTTCTGTTCCATCGATACGTGTCTGCTCTCGGCCTAATTTTGTCTACCTGTATCATTTACAAAGTCCTTTTGATACCATTCGAGTTCTATCACCCTGTTATTTTACGTCGGAGTGATCAAAGCATTCTTCGAGCAGGTCCGGCGTCTTCTTGAGCCAGTGTGCCCAAGCATTGCGCAAATAAGCACACTCGACCTCGGCCATCCTAATTCAGTACAGAGGCATTGTCGCCTGAAATGAGCTACAAAAAAATAATGGTTATAATCGCTGACTGTACGAGTAAAGATAATGTTTGACCAATACACAACCTGTAGTCCTGCTGACGCATTAATTAGAATAATTATTGTGCCGTGCCCTCCCCCTCACCTCCCACATCCCGACCTTGCGATCTTGCGCACGCCGCAC